GTAGTAGTAGTAGTAGTAGTAGTAGTAGTAGTAGTAGTAGTAGTAGTAGTTATCATCATTATTATTATTTATCATTATTATTATTATTATTATTATCATCATCATCATCATTACTATATGCTGTTAATATTATTTTGTTTTTAAATAAAAGATTACATTTATATAACGCTCTGCCCCGAAACGTGCCAGCATGATTAGCTCTGAGCACAGTCGTGAAACACCAAAAGCAATTCCCTTGTGACCAATGATCAATTTTGTTTTTAAAACTGTAATGCTTTACGGTAAAGTACTTTATGTACCCTTCTGGTCAGTAGTTTAGCCTTAAGACCATTCGTCATCGCACGCAGAAAACTTTGAGTTCGATTACCATAATATGGAGAGGTTTCATGGAGATCATATCCGTCTGTTTGCTGGGACGTTGAATCTCTCCCTCAGCATAGCTTGGCCCTGATAGGCTGGGCCGAAGCCTTCCCCCAAAATTATTTTAATCGCAACACTTCTACAATTATCTATCTATCTATCTATCTATCTATCTATCTATCTATCTATCTATCTATCTATCTATCTATCTATCTATCTATCTATCTAAAAAAACTTCAGAACTAATATTATAGTGCTGAGATTTTTATGCTCGGAGAGTGGGGAAACAGGTACGTTAATTAGTCTGAAAAGAGGAAAAAATGTGTGCGTGTGTGTGTAGGCCTACTTATGTATCTAGAGAGATAAATAGATACATTTTTTTGGGTACAAGATTATAAAAGGGCACGCGCAGTACCAATTCCCATATGACCTATTATCATTAATTTTTAAAAGGTTAATGTTTTGCTTTCCCGTCGATTTAAATCAGATCATTTTAGGAGGCGGGCTACTTCGACTTTGCCTGCTATAAGGCCCCACCATGGATTAGTGGGATACAACACCCAAGCAGATAGAAGAAGAAGATATTCGATCGAAAAAACTGGACAATTTTCCACGCTAGGGAATCGAACTCCGTTTGTTTGTTTGATTGATTGATTGATTGAATGATTGATTGATTGATTGTTTGTTTGTTTGTTTTGCGTAACACAACGAAGATCGTTGAATTACTTTTCCACCATTAACGCTAGTAAAAGAAAATAATTGTTGTAGGAAATCACCGGTTTTGTGTGACCTGTCAGTACCACTTCCACCGGACCCAGCTATGCGTCGTCCCTCTAAGAAGACCCGAGTTCGATTCTTGGGTGGGGAGAATGTTGTTGATTATCTCGGTCTATCTGCTGGGACATTGTATCCCTCTCACCCCGGTTCGGCCCTGGTTGGTAAGGTCGAAGCCTGCTTCCTGAATTATGATCTAATTTACGTCAAGTGTGAGGTAAAAACATATTTTTGCCCACCTTGACATAAACAAATAAAAAAGTAAATAAATAAAAACAGATAAAAAAACAAACAAACAAGCAAGCAAACTGACAAGGAAACAAAAAACCTCTGGCTGTTGCCTTAAATGCCTCAAATTAGAAAGGACTGTGAGACCTTTTTTCTAATTTAATATTATCTAATTTGTTTCGAGGTAAAACTACCAACATTAAAAGAACAAAACAAAAATAACTTTTCTTTTTTTTTTTAAAGGAGAAAAAAAATGAAGCTATTGCTATTGTTAAATTATTGTACCTGACTGTGAGAGCCTTTTCTACTTTACTAATATTATCTAATTTATTTCGAGGTAAAACTACCAACATTATTAATAGAACCAAAAAAAACAAAAAACTTTTCTTCTTTTTTTTTAAAAGGAGATAAAAAAAAGAAGCTATGGTTGTTGTAAAATTATTGGACCTGACTGTGAGAGCTTTTTCTAATTGCCTGCGATCACACAGGGCCAGTGGTGACGTGTGAAATCTACACCGTGTGTGTGTGGGGGG